ATCCTAGAAATAATTTATTTTGCCAAAATTTTGAGAGGAACTGTAATCGCTCAATGGATTGTTTCCCCCCCCCCAGCGAACAACTTGGTACGTTGTTGTAGCGGTGGAGCTGTTCACATACTCAGAGCAGGACTTTGTTAGGTTAAGGAAAAGCTTCATGGTTGGCCTTAAACTAATTATGTAGTTTGGTTTGGGCAACTAAACCACCAACGGTGAGGTTTGGGCAATAAAACCACAACATGGTGCAAACACCGGTCTTCTGGTTGAAAGACCTGTTTGTTGGACCTTCCACCAATAGTCGTCTTTTTGATTATTGTATACATCACCTGCTCTGGCTGTTGCTTAGTCACATGCATTTAATTTGTGTGCCCACCACAATTAAGGCTCCTAATTTGGAGGTTTGGCATTGGCGGACACTTCGACGGTCAGCGCTCTGATATTTGACCCCCATCCCCCTTATTTTAGGGCCAGTGAGAGACGGGCAGCACTGATGGAAACTGCACTAAGTACTTCTGAGATCAATAAGGAGGGATGCAGCTACAGTATGTCTCCCTCCAGATGTGCAGGCGGAACACTGATTTCCTGTGTGTGTGTGTGTGTGTGTGTGTGTGTGTGTGTGTTCGATACCTCTCTTCCCACTTTCCCTCCCCATATGAGGCGTCTACGTCGCCTTTGATCTCCACCGTTTTCACTCGATGAGCAGCAGTGCTAGAAATAACTGCTCGGATTCAGAGCTGCAGGAGCTGAACTTCTCTCTTCTAACGGTTTCTGTGCTCGTGAAGACTTTCTGCTCCGTCGATGAGGTGATGATCACGCGTCTCTTTTGGCGTCGTTGCATCCACGAACACATCTGTCGGTGCTCGCCGGCTGGCTGCTCCGAAAGGCTTGGTGGTCGTGAGCGCTGGCAAACAATGTCCGCCCGCCCGCTGAATGCTGATTGGGCGTAATTGAGGGTTAGTGGTGCGCCGTAATTGGAATGATTACAGTCATCAAATCCCAGTGGAGACTCTCCTCTCTGTCCAGCGCGGCCGGGTTCGACACGCGCAGCAGTTTCGTGGCGAGATGCAAAAAGCACTTTGCTCATGGGATCATAAACACGAGGCTTTTTAATATGTTTTGTCCAGAAAGACTTACAAAGAGTCCAACAAAACGAGATTAAATTCCTCAATCACCAAAATTACCAGCGCAAGATAATTTACTGTCTTCTCCGTGGAGTTTCTTTACTTTACAAACGCATTCTGTTTTAACCCGTTCAGATCTATAGTTGGGTCTCTCAGAAGCAAAACGACTAAAATAAGAAATTATGATTATTGTGAATGACAGAAGAGCAGAGACGCTACAACGAACACCTTGTAGAAAAGATTGACACTTAATCAAAAAAAACACAAAGGTTCTGTTATTGTGAGTGTGTGTTCTGAATGAGCCGGATCAGATCAGTGGTGCAGAAAATACAAACGCTGACTCATCGTTTTCTTTCTCAGGCATCAATCCAAACTCAGTGTACGGAAGTTTGTCAGTGCCATAAATATTAAATGAATATAAAATAATAATTTTGTATACAAAGACTTTGGCATCCTGTGATCCTCGTTTCACATGAGGAAGGAACAGCGGTCTCCTGGAGTCGTTATACTTCCTCGTTCATTATTTCGTGGATAACATACAACTTTTGTGGGATATTGCAGAACAACTGTGCGTTACTTTTTGTAGTTATTGCTGCGAATGCTGGACGAGACCCGCCCGGATTATTCTACAGGAGACATGTTTTTTTTTAATTAGGTGGAAAAAAATCTGCACATATATCATTATCAGCAATCTGCTGAAATGATGTGGAAAATACCGTCATATTGTCAAATATACGAACACGGTGTAAATGTTGGTGTTTTATTCTCAAAAAATAGATGTTGGTTTGAGAATAATTTGTCATTCAGGTCCTCCTTCCTTTAATCAATTTAAAACCAACTCCTTTATTGAGTCCTCTCCAACAGCAGTTTTTTGCCATCGGTGAGCCACCGTACATTTGGTGAAAAAGCGAGTAAGAGACCGCAGCTGTCCGACCTGCACCGTCACATGTGTTTGGTATCCCATGATGCCAGTGGGCAAATTAAAGGCGTCTCGCAGGAGCGTTTTCAACCATGCACGTTCACTGACAACACACACGCGCGCACACAATGATGCAAGCAGAGTTGACAGCATCAGATGGGAGTCAGCGGGTGTTAACAGGTGCAGAAACGTAGATGAGAGATTTGTAAATAAGACTTTGAGACACAGTCCAACATCAGTGTCAGCTGCAACAACCAACTGCTGTAGGTTTCATATAATCATGTTTATGTCTCATCTGGTCTCATAGTATTTTCAGTGTTTTGGACTCTTTAGGGGTCAGGAAAACCCTCAAGGTTGCTCAATGAATGAAAGGTCACGAGAGCATCAACGGAACATAAAAGCTGAAAAATAGCTTTTATTGCTTAATTTTCAAGGATAAGTTCTCATTCTCTCCAAGTCCATCTTAATACATTGCTCACCTGCCGATATGTCCATTGGCATACAGCTGCATTCACTCAATCAAGCCACACATCAGCTGGTTTACGACAGCTGCATGAACCCAAAATGACAAGCAAACTTTTGAAATGCTTGTTTTTCTGGATGAAGCTTGTAATGATCCGTGCGAGGATCACATTGAAGCTGCTCCATCGACCCTTAAAATAAAGTCATCGAGGCATAAGTACAGCAGCAAAGTTATTCAACGTATTCACAACGATTCTTAGTATAACTTACAAAAAAGTTAATCCTCATTTTTCGTGCGTTTCTACGGAAGTCCAGCAACCATAGTCTGTATTTAAGAAGTGGACGTATAGTCATCGTGACTTCACCCATTGGTTTGTGGACTGCGAAATAATACGATTCCTCAAGTTTGCCATCTTGGATTAAAGCCGTCGCCATGTTTTTTTTTTTTTTTTTTTTTTTTTTAAGTGATCATATCTGGACTTAGGAGTGACTTAGAGACGTGGTATATGTCTCTGGTAGAGACCTGTCAATCACCGACCTGTTCGACTCTAAATGGACCATAATGTACTAAATGAACATCATGCTGTATTGAAGAAGACTTGAAACTAGAGATTGAGACCATAAACTCATGTTTACAATGTTTACTGAGGTAATAAATCAAGAGAGAAGTAGAGTCATTTTCTCATAGACTTCTATACAACCAGAGGAGTCGCCCCCTGGTGGTTGCCGTCTGCCAGGAACACGTGTCAATTTCCACTCATTACATGCGTAAAGTCTTTTCAAAATAAACTTCTGTCTTCACAGGAAACTACTTTTTAGATTTAGGTAAAGATTGTAGTTTGGGTTAAAATAAATTCGGAAGTGGTGCTACTTAAGTACAAAACTGAGGTCACAACTGAGTCAATGTGGAGTTCTTGTTTCACACGGGGATTGAACAACGGTCTCCTGGAAACAAGGTTTTTAGTTTGACCATCTCCTGCTGATCCTTTGTGGGTTTTTGCAGTCCATGTTCGTGATTACATAAGAATTGATTTCGTGGGATACCTACGAATTACAGCGCATTTGTTTTCGTAGGTACGAATGCTGGATAAGAAAAGCCTGCAGAATTAGACATATAGCTTCATTTACAGAAGCCGAAAAGGTCACAGGCCAGTGTTTTTCAGTTCTAGTTTGATGTTTATGATCTGCTTAAGTAACACTTTTTATAGAAACCTGACTCCCTCAATCAGGCCTGTAATGTGCTTTAATGGGCTCCGGTCATTACAGGCCGTTATAAAAAAGCCAATGCAACTTAAATGCATAAGAGACTATTTAAAGCTACGAATAAGTGCAGCCTCCATAGTCAATATTGTAGATGCTCTGAGCCTCAGTGAAAGCTTTGAGTCATGATACGTTCAGTAAATAAAAAGGTTGTGGCGTCAGGCGGAACAGACAGACGTGGCGTCCTGCACGGAGCTGCCGTTGCCTCTCCGGTTGGGGCCTTCGGGGCCTTCGGCTCCTCGGGGCCCCGTTAACCCTTCATACAAGCTAATGAGCATTCCTGAGGGACTCCTGTTGTCACTACACTGCTACTGTTATTAACCACTTCACGGGTGTTTGATTTGATTTCTCTGAAGTATGACGGTGTATTTCTTAAAGGAATAGTTCGACATTCTGGGATATAAGTTTATTTGCTTTCAAAGAGTTAGATGTAAAGATAGCCTAGCTTAGCATAAAGACTGGAGGCTTTGTTGTAGGTTGTTTGTCTTCTGGCACAGTGATGACAAGAACTATTCCAATGTTGAAAGTTCCAGCACATGTCTGTAAAAAGCTAACAGTGCTAACAGCGCTAACGGTACAAACTACGACAAACATGCTGACAGAGCTAAAATACAATAATGAACTATATATTTTCACATATTCACTTTCTTTTTACAATGGTGTGTCATATTCTACTAGTGGTAAAAAAATACACCGGTCATTTATTTTATTTTTTTCACAACCTGGCAACTGAGAAGTTGATCCTTTTTAATGCATCAGTAAACGATCTGTTAACCACTAATGCAGTCATTAGTTAACCCTTCATAATGGGAGACAACAACAACAACAAAAAACTGATATAACTAAAATCATGGGTATTATATATTTTTATAACTGGTAAAATATAACATTTCTCTTTACAATTAACACTTGACATGATGAAGGCACTTGCAATGACAAGGTTGTACAAAATATAAACCGAACGTTTCCTTTTTACTTTAAGATTTCATGAAACTTAAAAAGGAACTGAAACACTGGCAATGAGGACTATCTTAATAATGAATGCGATATATATTAAGCTTTATTTCAAGATACAGATTGAAACAATATCTCAAATAAAAGTGGTGTGTTATTATTTCTGGCCATCAATATTTTGAGGACCGAGCGCGCAGCAGTCATAGGCACGCATGCGTCCTGGCGCTCCGGTCGGGCAGCGGGATGCAGCGCCGCCGCCGTGGCTTCAGTGCGCCCCGAGCAGCCAGAGCGCACGGTTACAATGAGCTTCTCCACCGGTCCGACTGAGAGCCAGCGTCAGTACCGACCTCCGAGCAGCAGACACACCGCCACAGACCGACACCAGCTCCGCCCGCCCGCAGCAGGATGCCCGGGGGAAAGAGAGGGCTTGTGGCACCGCAGAACACTTTTCTGGAGAACATCGTCCGCCGATCAAGTGGTGAGTCCGCGCGCGGCCGGAGCGAGGCTTGTTTTGGGGTTTTGTTTCACCAGGACCGGGACACTGCTGGAATACAGTGTGTTTTTTATTATTATACCAATACAACCACGGAGGTTTGGTGGAGGACAAAACCCGCATAATCTCACTTTACAGCTGCATTTATTCTGCAGTGGAGTTTACCGTCGCTCTTACCATTTTAAGTAACGTTATCTAAGTTTCATGTGAAGGGGAATATTTCCACTGGGAGCAACGTGTTTTTCAGTTTTCAGGAAAATCATTTTTTTGTTCATATCGGCAAGATGCTCACCGGGAGTCCCAGTTTACGCACCGTGTTATCCACTAACTCCAATATTCTGCTCGGTTTTACGAGATTAAATTATGTCCACAAATCATCATTAGACCAAAACAGCGGCGCTGCTGCACAAACACCACATTTAACTGAAGATTTAAAGTATATATTTGCTCATTAAACACTGAAAGCTGCTCAGCCAATACAACTGGAAACCATCTGATCATTGTTGGAGTCCCCATCTTCCAAATACTATTATTATTTTAGAGAGTTTGAGATGAATAAACTACCAAAATGTGAGCTCCGTCATTATGTAACTAATACTGCGTTTTATGGGTACAAAGTGGGTTAAGTTAGCGACCTGCTGGGGTGAATAATAGATATTTGCTCAGTTATTCATCATCTCAATGTGTTCAGCTTTACTCCGCTGCGGTTTTGTTTTTTATCAGGGCTCATGTCTTTTCTGCCTGTAAAGTGCGTCGGATTTGGCACCACCTCTGATTAAATGGATTCCTTTACTTTCCCAGAAAAGTCAGCGGAGAATCAGGCGCAGTGAAAGCGGGCTGGATGAGGAGGGCTGCAGCGTTTCTCTTGTTTGTGCCTTCCTGAAGGAGAGACTGTTGTGTCGGATCTCTTGGGGGAGTTTCATCGCTAATTGGAGCGCCAACGGTCGTAGTTGCTGTCTGTTTATTTATTTTCTGCTTGATAGGCCACACAAGCAGTTAGATGGAATGATGTGAAGAGACTGTTGTTGGACTTTCAGGCTGTTTCAGATCAGACCAGCAGCCTTTATGTTTGGAGAATCTTGGAGACTATAACTGTAACATGGACCATTTGGATGATATTTACAGGGCGGAACTTCTTGTTTACCTGCTGCTGAACAGCGCTGAAACTAATATTGCTGGTTACTTTATTGAAAAAATCTAAATTATATCGAAGCTGCAGAAGGAGAATGAGTGAAAAAACGAAACTTATACTTTAGCTTATATGAGACAGTTTCCAAATATAGATATATTAAAAGTGGCAATAAATACTCTTAAGTTAGTTTTTTAGTTGGTATGAATATGATACTTCCCAAAAAACAATGTTAACATTTATAAATTCTAAAGAAGCTCAGCAATTACTTCTTTTCATTTCAATATACTTTAGCATATTGTTTTGGCAGCAAGTACAACTTTACATAATTTCACTGTTGCAGGCAGATGGACCCGTGAGGGTGCAATAGAATGAGCTGTAAGTCTTAACACTCAGAAATGAGTCGGCATATTTGGACTTCCTGGTCTGAAAGTTAAAGTGTTTTCTGAATGTGTTTGTGTTTAGATGTCTGAAATCAGATCTGTGTTTAACACAAGCTGAAGAGATTTGAACGTTTACTTAAATTCTCCTCTGGTGAATTTAGAAGCTGCTACATGTCTCAAAAAGAGTGTAAATGAGACGACTAAGCCTCCTCACTAGAACACTATCCTCCTTTAGCTTAGTGGAGGAGACGTGAAGTCACGTGACCGTGGTGGAGTTCCTTTATAGACTAACATGAAGTCATGTGACCGTGGTGGAGTTCCTTTATAGACCAACATGAAGTCATGTGACCGTGGTGGAGTTCCTTTATAGACTAACATGAAGTCATGTGACCGTGGTGGAGTTTCTTTACTTTACTTCCTTACTTTACACTTCAAAAATCATAAAAGTGGAGTTCATTTGTGTAGATTATTTATGTAATAATCCAAAATCAAATGGAAGAATCGCATTGGCTGTTTGTGGAGGAAACCAGCGTGATGCTAACTTCCTGTTAGCTACAAAAATACATCATCCCTGCTGCACTCTTTAGCCTAATTATGATTTTAACCACTATTCATCATACTCTACTGTATTACGATTTAAACACAGTGGAGTAATTTAACTTGAAAAGCATTTAAAACAGCTTTTAAAAAGCATAGCTGTCCGTTTCATTACTTCATCTTCATGTAATTAATGCAAATGTCAATTAGACGGTAAACCACATGATGAATAAATACAAAGAAACCAGCAAAAAAACTTTCCTCAGTGATTTTCTGTAACAACTTGGTATTTTGATCTATTCATGACGTGGTCGGGTCAATATTTACTGCAGGTAGTTGAAGTGTGTTGGTTGACAGTTTGGAGGTTTCTGCAGGCAGCAGCACATTGTCTGCATGAATGCACTCGTTGTTTCACTTCGGTCTCTTTTCATTTGAAGTGTGAATTATTGGATCTGAAATTAAAAAGGTCTCATGTCGCCTCCCACCGAATATCCCGACGATTGAATGAGAGCCGTTGATGAGAATGCTGAATGATGTCATCAGAGGGTTTCTTCGGCAGAGAGTTTGATGTTTCGGAGACTTTGTACACTTCTGTTGCTGAAGGACTTCAGGGCAGCCCGACTGGTCGAACCTCGGTTCAGCTAAGTAATTGGTTGTGATGAAAGAGCAGAGCAGCAAAGGTCAAGATGATTCTGTTAAGTCTTACTCAGCTCTTTCAAACCAAAAGGTCACACGTGAGGCTGCAGATGATGACTTTAAGTCACTAAAGTTCCTTTTTTTTGTGCTGAATGTTTGGAAAGAGAGGCGGAGGACAGATGAGGGTGATATTGTTCTGGACTGTTCTGCGTTAAAAGGTGTGACCTGCTCATGGCTTACCCACAATGCACTGCAGCCTGATTCATTCACAACAAATAAAAAACAAGTTTTATTTGAACAGAATGTTTATGTAAAACAGAAGAGTTTGATTTGTGTAAACAACTTCTCTGTTCTTAGAGGAGCAGAGTTTGTCTTTTGAGTGACGCCGGAGGAAAAGACTGTATTGTAAAAAGGATAGTTTGGATGTTTAGAAGTGTGGTTGTATGAAGTACTTCTTCACAGTCAGTGTATTACTACATTAGATGGAGTTTGGAGAAACAGACAGGAGAATAGTAATGTACTGCTGTGGCCGTATTTTAGACACCTAAAATAATCATATCAGTTTAAGTGAACGCTACATTTACCTTGATGTCAGACAGACCTTTCTGACGGCGAACTGAAGCCGTTCTCTAGCTCCAGTCCTCATCCGTGGAAGCACTTTAAGATTTGTCCTCGTTCAAAAAAAGAGGACTTCACTTCCTGTAAACTGCAGTGAAAAAAGTTTTCTTGCGGCACAAAAGAAAGAAACTCGTGGATGGGACATAACATCCAGGTGAAATTCAGTCTGAAAAAATAAACCTGTACAGTTCTCAGGGGAAGATTAGTTTACCAGCCTCTTAGAATAAACTTGCTCTGAAATACCGTCTAACTTGTTCCCTGTATTTATGTGGTTGTTGGAAGGAGTTTGAAAGCCACAGAACCGATTTATTGTTTTATTCTGAATCCGATATGCTGCAGTCTGTTATTTAGAGTTTAAATGCTGTTTCACAGGTTTGTTTCCTCCCTCTTGTAAACACATAGTGCACTGTGGGGAAACACTGCACGCTTGTGAGGTTTTTGGGGCATTTGAAGAGCTGTTGCATCCCATCTTTTCATCTCAAAATTCACTGATTCACCAGCCAACTATTATTTATTTTTTTGGAAGAGGAGTTTATGTTGAATGATTTCCTGCCAAAGTTACCTGCAGCTTTGGCCGGTGTTGAGAGACGTTAGCTGCAGTTTTAGCTTATTAATTACAATTTGCATTTACCTTTTTTAGGAGATAGTTTTTTGACCTTTCAAAGAAGCTGCTGGGTCCAGTTTGCTATAAAAAAAAGACTTGAACTTTAATGGAAAGAAAAAATATAAGAAAATATTTTTAGAAACCAAGCTTTTGGAAATTCTCACCATGTTTCCATGTCTGGTTTTTTTGGGGTGTTTTTGTTGTTGGCGATTTCAAGGACAGCGTCTGAAACTTCAGTCAGTTTTAATTAGACAGCAGCAGACTGTCAACTCGTGAATGTTCGAGTGTCTTTAAAACGCAGCGAATGGAGAGTTTTTCTGGCTGTCTCTTATTGTATAAAATATCTAATTTTAGAGTACACTTTCTATTTCAGCCTGGATCTTGTTTGAAAGAAAGTTATTGTTTGTCACATAGGCCTACTCAACATCTCTCTACATTGTGCAGTGAAATGTTTTACCCCACTACGTACAAAATATCGACAAAGAAGTCAAGATAATATGTGCAAATACGAGTCTGAATATCAAATATTGAAGAAGCGGGGGCGGGGCTTCATGTATAAGAAGGCGGGGCTTTTAGCAGGTTGTAACAAACATGGCTGACTCTCTGCAGGTGGAGTGGCTGTGTCTCAGAAGAGAGGTGACAGGTGGATTTAAGTAAGTAAAGATGGACCTGGTGGTGTTAAAAAGGTGGCTTTTTTGTTTTTGCCTTTTCGTTGAACAGTGTTGATTAGCGTGTTAGCTAACGGCCTTGTGTGGCCACGTAGCTTTTTATGCTAAAATATCGTAATTTTATGTCTCCATCATGTGTTGGTAGAGGTGATTTTCTTTGAGTAGCAAGCGGAGGCCTTTCACCAATAATATTGTAGTATAACACTGAAAACTTGTGGGCAAAGGTTTCAGCTGTTTGTTAGCCAAAAATGTTTTGCTAGCTTTTCCTTTTGTAGGTAAGTGTTGAGTTTGTAGCTGCAGGTAATGAAACACCTGACTTATACCTGCAGCAACATAATGCTGCTAAATGCTAATGTTAGCCTAGCTATGATGCTAACCAGCACTTTGAACCTGACAGGCCGCGAAAAGAGCGACTCGGCCACGGCAGCTCACGTTTTTGTCCCATAGTACGAAGAGAGGCAGTTTAATGGTTGTATAGAAGTCTATGAGAAAATGACTCTACTTCTCTCTTGATTTATTACCTCAGTAAACATTGTAAACATGAGTTCATGGTCTCAATCTCTAGTTTCAAGTCTTCTTCAATACAGCATGATGTTCATTTAGTACATTATGGTCCATTTAGAGTCACACAGACCATAAAGCAGGGGATGCTTTAGGGCGGGGCTACACAGTGATTGACAGGTCGCTACCAGAGATGTATACGGCGTCTCTACGTCACTCCTCCTCAGTCCAGATATGGTCACTTCCTGTTCATTGGTTGCAAAACATGGCGACAGCCATATTCCAAGATGGCAAACTTGAGGCATCATATTATTTCGAAGCCCACAAACCAATGGGTGAAGTCACGATGACTATACGTCCACTTCTTAAATACAGACTATGGTTCCTGGACTTCCGTAGGAAAATGCACAAAAAATGAGGATTAACTTTTTTGTAAGATATACTAAGAATTGTTGTGAATACATTGAACGTGCATTAGGGCGGGGCTAGCTTGTGATTGACAGGTCACTCCTCCTCAATCCAGATACGGTCACTTCATGTTCACTGGCTACAAAAAAAACAAATTATACTTCAATACTTTAGCTACATTTTGCTGATATTACTCACATACTTTTACGTTAGTAAGGGTTTGAATTCCTCTGCCTACACCATTTTATTAATACAGTCTTCCTCCAGAGGTTGAGAAGCTTTGCAGCCTTTTATCCGTGTTTCATATTTGATACATCCTCTCTCTGTCCTGTCCGTCCATCAGAAACCAGCTTCCTCCTGGGAAACGCCCAGATCGTGGAGTGGCCTGTAGTTTACAGCAATGACGGATTCTGCAAGCTGTCTGGCTTCCACAGGGCTGAGGTCATGCAGAAGAGCAGCACGTGCAGGTAAAACCCTTTTCTGGTCATATTTTGTATTCATTACTGAACATTTCAGCATCGTAAATGTGCACAATTACTAATGTTTAATGTCGGGTCAAAGCTTAATTAGTTACTGTGAGGTAATGGAGTGATAATGACTCTTCAGTCTTGTTTCTTTATTATAATTGCACTCACAGCGTAACTAAATATGCAATCATTTTCATGTGCATCCACGCACTGAATGTAAAGTAAGCATATGTTGTATTTAACCCCTGGGTTTATGCTTTTTTTAATGGTTTAAATGCTTCATTTAAAGCAGAACTAATAAACATTTATTTCCTGCAGCTAGGACTTAAAACCACACCAGAGTAACCAGGTCCTTTTTTTTAAAGTGCTCCATTTATCCTGCAGAAATCACTCAATATGTCTATTTTATTCAGTTCCATCTATTATTTAGTGTGTGTGTGTGTGTGTGTGTGTGTGTGGAAAGAGATAGAAAAGATCACAAAGTAACAATCTTTTGTACCTTCCTGCTTCTGTCCCTCCATAGTGATCATTTTAAACCGCTTGGCGCTGCTCTGGAGAGCTGTTTACATGATGCTAACTTCGTTTACTGCTACTATTATATCATGCAGGGAAAGTGTGGCGCTCAGCAGAGTCGCACTGTACCAGAGGGGAAAAAAAGGCATCTGGCACTTGCTGTAAAAGAGAGAGGGAGAGATGGCTCACTGCTCCGCGAGAGTCGGAAATGAATCCAATTTTGTGCTGCCAGAAGAGCTCAGTCTGCTCGAGGACGGCGTCCTGCTCGCTTGTCAGTCAGGACGTTTTTAAAATTTGACTCCAAAGGACGTCTCGTCTCCTCTGGCGCCTCTCAGATCTGATGGGGGGGGGGGGGGGCTTGACTATAGCCGGTGGCTTAAAAAGGTTCCGAGCTATAAGTGAGAACAGGGCACTGAGATTTATCCGTCTGACCCCCTGCTGCTCCGGGGCTGAGGACACCGAGACATCGAGGGGACGGAAGAGAACCGGCCCAGTGTCATAAATAGTAGTTAGTGGAATAGTGCAATCTATTGGTCGTGTGTGTTGTTGTTTTTCATTTCACTCAGGACAAAGATATTGCCAATAACAGGTCAATGAGGATTCTTATTAGAGGTGGACAGTGACACCAAACTGTTTGTGGTTTTGTTGCCTCAACCTAACTTTAGTCTTTATCGTGATGTCGTCCTGAATAATGACGTTCCGAAGGACACAAAGAAACGGACAATTCGTGTCCCTGTACACAAAACAAATTCCATTTCATGACTATTACAAACTGCCGTGAGACTGTGTTGCACCGGCTGCTGCCAAAGTGACTGAAGACTTGAAGCTTGTTTACATTACAACATAATAAGATAGTAAACTTTATTTATAGCCCTTTCAAAACAAATGTTACAAATTGCTTTAGAAGATAGAAATGGCCGACAAACAACAATAAAAACGATTACAAATATTTTAAAAGTTCTACAATGTTGTGTTATTGTGAATAACACAACAAAACAGTGGGCCTCACATAATGACACGAGGGTTACAGAGGGTCACAGGTACTGTAGTGCAAAAGGAAACTCCACAATTTGGGGGTAAGGGTCCTCATGTCGCTCCCTTAATGTCTCTGCTGGACTGTGGCCATGTTGTATACGTGCATGCGTCTTCACAGTGACTGCTACTCACGTTTTCCTTAAATCTTTGTCAATCGGTTGTTTTTACTCTTTGGGCCTCAAAACAATGTGAGAAGTTATGAAGGAAAAATCTATCTTTGTTGCAACAACTCACAACTCACAGATCCCTTCTGATGAGGGACCGCTGGTCCTGTTTAGAGGCTGCATGCGGGAGCAGGTTTTCATTAAAGATGAGCCCCTCTTGCTTGCTTAGTGTCCCAAAATCCCCGGATTTTATTGAAATTTCTGTTTTTAAATTGAAATGTGGAATAAAACTTTAAGTGCAAGTTGAAGCAGGACGACGTTATCCTTCTAGTTTTATAAGGGGGCTCCCTCACGAGCTTTCCTCAACCCGTGAGCGTCGTAGCTGAAGGATGTTTAAGCTCCTCGTTTCCTCCCTCTGCTGTAAATAAATCTAAATCAGCAGCGTTAAAGTCTCTTTATTGGATAAAGCATCTGTGCTGCTCTGTCTTTTCTGGTTGACTAAACAAACTCCACAATTAAAGCACAATGAAAAATCTCCTTTATTTAATTCTAAATTACCCATGTTCACATTAGTTACTTATTTAATTATTAAATTATTATTATTAATTATCTGTAGATTTCTCCTAAATTCACCAAAAGTTGCCATTAGATAATGCCTCATTTATCTCAGTGTAAGTGGCGAAGTTTCATGGTGATATCATGAGTTCATGTGTTCACCTGTAGAGTCTCTAAATGTCTGTCATGTAACTAAACGTCTCTTTAAAGGACGTTTCCTCTCAATGAGTTTGTTCTCAGACTCTGATGATAAATCTCCACTTCAGCAGCTCTTACATTCACCAAACTTTACTTTCATTCCTCTCTGTGTGCTGAAGGTTCACACAGAGGGGTTTGTTCACACGTCACTCACAGGCTCATTTATACTACATTTATTAATAAAAACATAACGAACATGGATTTGTTTAAATGTCTGTTGACAGTATTGTCTGATTTGGCATAAAGACAGAAACTACTGCATAGCTGCAACTCGGAGCAGTTTGTTCATATATCGTTCATAGTCTGATTCACACCATATTTTATTACTTAAAACATTGAGAACATTTATTTTTTAAATTTCTGTTACATACATAAATGCAAATGAGCACATATTCAATTAAGACAATTCCTAATTCTATTTTCAAACGTTCTAAAATAAAGGTGACTTATCGGGGAAGATTCTTGGTGATAACGGTTCATTTTTTACTCTATTCACATTTAGTGTCTCCACTTAAAGACCAATACAAGTGGAATAATGAAATGCATTTTGTATCTGCATTACGTGGAACCCTTGACGTGGGAGGAACTTTTTCTATATTTGCACTTGGAGATCAGATGCGACTGCACTGGATGGGAAGCCGTGTCCTCGAGCTACAAACGCACGGTTGCATTAGCAGGAAGAATATCTAATGATGACACCAGTTCAGGCTTTTACAGATGCTCTCTGGTGATTAAAAACCCTTTGTGTTTGTCTACAAGGAGGAAACATACCGTATCTTTTGGTGTGTGTGTGTGTGTGTGTGTGTGTTGGTGCTTGAAGACACTGCGGCTGTTGGAAAAGAAAGTAATCACTCCGACTACACATATTAGCTCAGATTAAAATGTCGTCAGCCCTTTAAGGAAGAAGCGCAGTCTGCACCAATCAGAAACCAGTCAATAATCCCTCCCTGTGAGCTGCTGCATCAATTCACTCTATAAAACCCCTTTATGGTAAGATAACAGATCGACGATGGCGTTCCAAACACATGTGATGTACTGTAACACGGGGGAGGTTCAGCTCCGTATTGACCGTCTCTGTTTCCTCGTTCTAGCTTTATGTACGGAGAGCTGACGGACAAGAAGAGCATCGACAAAGTCCGACAGACGTTCGACAACTATGAGTCCAACTGCTTTGAGATCCTGCTGTACAGAAAGAACAGTGAGTGCTCACTTGCTTCGTTTACTTGACACTTGTTAACGCATTTTACTTTACAAAAGATTCACTTGTAAGATTATAAACTACATTTTTAGGAGCATGACAATTCAAGCCAACTTGTCCAAAAGTTATTTTAAGGCGAGACCTGCAGCAAGATGTTGTGCTATTCGTCTTCCATAACACGTCTTCTTTCAGACTAGTGGAAAGAAAACATCCTAATACACATTCATGTGTTTATTTAACTACTTTGTCTGTTTACGTCTGTAGATTTCTCCAAAAGTTACCATTAGATAATGCTTATTTATATATATATATATAGCCAGAACATTTCAGAAAACTTGTAATATAAAAAAGAATAATTTTAATGTCAGTAATCAACTGGTGAAGTTTCACGGTGATATCTATTAATTCATTTTTTACCCTATTTACCAAAATGAGTTTGTTCTCAGACTCTGATCCATAAATCTCCACTTCAGCAGCTCTTACATCCACCAAACCTTACACCTCCATTCCTCTCTATATGCTGAAGGTTAACACAGAGGAGTTTGTTCACACATCACTCACAGCAACATTTTATTAGAGTCCGTATGCGACAGGTTGGGAACGAGAATGTGCTGAGAAGAGACATATTTAGCCAAATATCGTTCAAAAAACGTTTGTATTTGCAGTTTCTAAACGACACTTGTATTAACGTCTCTCTTGTATCTAGACTCGGTATCTATAAGTAAGTAAGCAAGTTCATTTATGACGTTGCATCTCAAGTTAATTTACATTTTTTTGTGTTTTTATGTTCAGATTTTGCCTCCTTATTTATTTTCCTTTCTTCCTCTGGAGAGGACTTTGAGCACCTTGTTCAAACTATATTTATTATTTATGTGTTTAAGTGATTTAAACCACTGCTGATATTACATGTCAGATAATGGATGGATTGAGGTCAGATAAAACCTTTTTATGGGAAAATGATTTAATAAATCCTAATGCAAATGATGTCAGGTGAAGTGTAACTTCAACGGGCCGATCGGGTAGAGGAATAGATTCTCCTGTCCGGTGTGGAGGAGCAGCAGTGAGTCTCGGATCAGCAGCGTCGTGGAGGAGCACGATGGACGAAGTGGGCCGACAACAAATAGTCCTAAATGTTCCCGTCTCCCAAGAGTGATCGCCTACGAGTGCAAAATGCGAGGCGGAGGAGGGAGGAACGGCAAAGAAAGAAATTGAAAACATCGATATTTAAACTTCTCAAATTTGCTGACAAATCAGGAGAACGAGGCTGGAAATATAAATGAGACTTGTATCCACAGAACTTGGGCTCTCTTGAAAGTGTGTGTGAGGAGGTAATAAAGTCACAGAAAACCTCAGCGGGTTCGAGGTTCTTGTGTGCAGAAAGAACGGCGAGTTCCCTCAAAGAGATGACCTGAACATTCTGGCTGTTTTTAAACGGCGGGTTAAGAAACGATCAACAGTCGTGTTCATGCCCTGAGAGGATCAGGTTGTTCTTTATGAAGATTAGTGGCTTCATCAGGTGACATCGTTGTGCAGTAAGGACAGAACTCAACGACTCATTGTTCATTATGTTCTCAAAAGGTCACCTCACAGTTAATTAAACAGGATTCTTGATGAATGAATCCTGAAGCAGTGTCCCAATTCCAAAATGGCACCGTAACCCTCAGCAGAGTCTGAGTTTGCAGTGTGCTCATGCAAGGAAAGTGACAAATAAAATAGACTCAAAAATGCTAGATTCTGATTCTGCTGACAATGGATTCTTTTGTTAATCAATGCACAGGACATGGAGGAGCTTCTATTGGCAGAATAATTCAAACTGATTGCAGGTCATGGTCGGATTGCTTCAGGAAAGTTTCAGAAAATGTTTTGTTTACCGCCTGCTTGTTCCAAATATTTCTAAAAAAAAAGATACAGTTTGGGTTACTTTCAAATAACAATGTCAAATGTTTTGTATCATAAAATCTTATATACAAAAATGTAAATTCTTAAAATGTTCTTTCTTCTCCAATCATTCGCTTCTCCAATGAAAAATAGTCTATGTATGGAAATGTATGTTCTTACGATTGTTTTCCAAATATACGCCGTGTTTCTACAGTAGCCCAGAACGGACAAACCAAACACTGGCTCTAGTTTTGCCATTTTGTGTCTTTATTGGACACACATCTAAGATTTCTCTGATTTCTCCGCAGGAAGTCCAGTGTGGTTCTACATGCAAGTGGCTCCCATCAGGAACGAGAACGACAAGGTGGTTCTGTTCCTCTGCACCTTTAAGGACATCACTCTCTTCAAGCAGCCTATTGAAGACGAAACCACCAAAGGTGAGTGTTTCCCTGCTTTGATTTAACAACAAACTCTCTCTCTGTTAACATTTTATTGTTGGTGCACGTCAGTTTTCATTATTGGATAATTCACAGTATAATTTAAAAAGGAGAGCGACGTGTAGAGAATGATGTTCGCCCAGATGTCTTTGGAAAAGACTGATGTTCAGAGAGCATGATGTGCAGCTCAGTGTACCGAGCCACCGGAGAAGATGATGTTTCATTATTCAGGACAGTAAAGAGTTAGAGGAGAGACGGGGGATGACGTGTGACAACATTTTCAGAGTGGAAACCAAATGAGTACAAGGCCAGACGCCCCAGCAATGTAATTCTGATTGAACATATTTACACATTCTTCATCTTCCTCCCAACATGTTTGTGTTTTACTGAAATATCTCAACAACTAAGCGGATGGATTGCTGTGAAATTTGGTGCAGAAATTCATGTTCCCTTCAAGATGATTTGGAGAAACTTTGGTAATCCTCTGACTCTTCATCTTCATCACTGTGTCAAAAATATGAATCTGCCCCAAAACTTTACCTGCAGAATTCCCATCAGCCTCCGCTGTACTTTGTGTTAACTGCTGACCAGCAAATATTAGCACGCTAACACGCGAAACTAAGATGGTGAACACTACACCTGTTAAACATCAGCATGTTAGCATTGTCCTTGTGAACATGCTAACATATAGCACAGCTGTGTTCTGTATCCTTTTTCTTTTTCTTCCCTTCTGCTATCTTCACTCTCCTCCTTGTCCCCTTCCCTTTCATAGTCTTCTTCATCTTCTCTTTTGTTTCACTAGTTGTTCTCCTCCTTCCTCCTCCTTCCTTCCTCTTCGGTTCTTTTTCTCCCACTGAGAAGTCTCAGAACATTTCTGCTCGCTGCAAATCGTAGTTCTGTATTTCATCCCAAGCTGCGGCTGGATGTAAAAAGAGCGAGTCGAGTCTTATTTCTCTTGCGATGCGGCAGCGTCTCATCTGTCAGGTTGTGTTTGAGGAGGTTGGGACGCTGTCAGGAATCACGGGAGATGTGGGTGGCGGTGTTGTCCTCTGTGCCCTGACTGATGCACAGTGTCAGCTTCCTGCCCTGGGAGTCGTCCTCAGCGCCACTGAGCGGGCGTGTTTGCCCTTTGACAAGGATCCCTCACCCTTCCCCCCCCCTTTTTAATGTACACACACACACACATGTATGTAAACACGCGTGCACACATGCAGCGAGTTACGAAGACCTGCAGAGAGTTGTCGTGTGATTTGTTTATTCACTCATGTGCTCAGTGACATGTGAATAACGTGGGTTGAACATGCAATTCGAGCTTGACTGGAACTAATATTGTCACATCAGTGCCGTGACGTCTTTGCCAGTTAGCTTCTGCTGATCATGTGACAAACTTCAGATTCAGTTCTCTAATCATCTGTAACTTGAAAGAAAACACTAGAGGTCTGCTGGTTCAGAGAACATTGTAAACATGAGTTTATGGTCTCAATCTCTAGTTTCAAGTCTTCTTCAATACAGCATGATGTTCATTTAGTACATTATGGTCCATTTAGAGTCAAACAGACCATAAAGCAGGGGATGCTTTAGGGCGGGGCTACACGGTGATTGACAGGTCTCTACCAGAGACGTATACGGCGTCTCTACCAGAGACGTATACGGCGTCTCTACGTCACTCCTCCTCAGTCCAGATATGCTCACTTCCTGTTCACTGGTTGCATGAAAGCAGAGGGCGACCACCAAAATGCTGAACTCAAGGCTTCTAAACCGTAGTCCGCAAACCTAACGAGGACTTTGTCTACTCTTTATGAATAGTCTGTAGTTCAGAGCCACAGTAACATTACAAAAGCCACTCAAAGAACTTTAAATGTCTTGCAAATTCACCTACATAAGCCTTCTCTTTGTGGTCCGTTTAAAAGGTCAACTGTTCCCAGTGTGGCTTTTGATTCCTTTAGTGTGAGATGCTCAGACATTTGGAAATGAAAAGTTTACTGCACTATAAAACGGATGGCCTTTTATCGTAGTCGTATCCTCGGTAATGGAGAGTCCTCTTAAAACTCACGTTGGCAACAAGGCTGCACTTTGCCGTTGGGGGTTTGACTGATGTGCTGGCAGCCAGACTGTAAACGCCACGTGTATCTCGGTACAGTACGGCTTGTTGGAGGCCACGGTGAGTCACAGAGCGGCCAGCTGGGGTGGGGGGGGAGGCCGTTTTGTCAGGAGGGGAGAGGGCGTTCGCAGCTGAGCTCGCTCGCGCCGCAGACCCGAAAACTTTGCTCTCAGCTTCGTCTCCGGCTGCTCCGGCGGCCTCGGCTCGCCACAACGCGTCGGCATCAGCTGAGCGGGAGAGAGATCTGCTAAACATCCTCGGCTTGGAACAACCAAGTCGATTTGTTTTTATCTGCACCCTGCTTGTGCCCCCTGTTTTGGCTAAAATGACCCCCATCATTTTACTAAACTTAAAATACATTCTGTGTTGTGGCAGATGCATTTATTTCCGACCTTTTCAATGACTTCAGAACATTTTCGATGCATGCGTGGCCACTGTTGTGGAAGATTTCCATGTTAATCGGGAGAAGAGTTTTTGTTCACAAGTCAATAATGAAGTCTTCAGAAGATTCAAAGTTGTCTTTTTACGTTTATTCTCTTGTAAGAGGGAAGAAAGCACAACATGCGTATTCAGTAGACTGTGTGAATGCTTCAAAATATGTAACACACGGGCTCCTTTATTTATACAGCAACAAGTTGGGTTCAAAGTTCAGCACCCACGAGGGCTTGTCTGCTGCATCCAGCTGACTTTTCACAGCTTCGATACATTCAAGGTAACATGAGGTGTTTTCAGTTCTGATTACTGCTTATTCTGCACTTTCTTTACTCTATGTAAGGAACAAGTTGTTCTGCCACTCTGCAAGTAGTTTTGCTACTTTTTCAGTAGCCATTTTTCCATAATAGATGACTCGTAAGTTTTCGAGTTCACATCGAGGACACGAAGTTCAAATACATGTTTTTACCATTACACCACTGGCTGTTGTTATTACAGCAGAGCAGGTACAATAAATAGTCAGCATCATCGGTGAAAGAGAGCAGTAAGAAGAGAAAGAAGAGCAAAACTAAACAGGTGGCAGAATGAAAAAAGCCTAAAATTAACATTTTATTATTTAAAAAAAAAAATTCAAATTCATTTTCATCGCCCAAAATCACCAATTTCCCTCACAGGGCTTTACAATCTGTACAGCATACGACATCCTCTGTCCCAGGAACCCTCGCATCAGAAAAGGAACCCCCCCCCCACACACACACACACAATTAAAACCCCATCATGTGGCTGTTTTCTTGCAGCGCGTAGCGGAGTTCACTGTCTGCTTTGTCAGCACCTGTAAAAGCTTCACAGATGGCGGTTGCTTCAGCCTCGGGCGAGACTTCATTACAGGATGAAGAGTGACGAGAACACCGGCGCCTCAGGCCTTAGAAACATTCTAGCAGATGAAATCTCTGACTTTACTTGTTGTGGTCATAGATGTTGTTCAAAGCCCTTAATATTTACCTTAAAATGACTGAAAGGTGTTTTACACTACATGGATATTTTACATTCTTGCTATATAATTGTTTGTCAATAAAGAGTTGAATTTATGAAAAAAACAACAACAATCTGCTTAATAACGATGTGTACATTTCTTATTGTAACAATATTAGCAGGACATAATCTGGTTATCTTCAATTGTGGCTGATAACACTGAAATAAACATAATTGGCAGATTATATTATTATCTCGTATTGTCAGCTAAACGAAACATGCTGAACCGAGCATGTTTTTGCATGCTGTCTTAATGCATCCGGACCTCAGAGGTGTTGCGGAGTTAATTCCACCAAACGTCTGTGCCCATGTGATAATCTCACAGACATACTGAACTCTTTACTCCCACTCTTCTTTAACATCCAAACCTGAATAGTAAGCACAAAACCAAACACTACATGTTAAAGATGGATGTTGAATGATAGTTGTTGCAGTGCACGTGTGCTGATCATGTGTCTGTCTGTCGTTGGAGGACAAACCGCTCTGTGGGTTCAGTGCGAGTCGACCTCGTCTGTGCAACCCGCTGATCAAAATCTCATTGGAGAATTCCCTTTGGTGGTGCGTGCAGCGGTTCTGCTCCCCTGTTATTTTTAGCCCACTTTCATTGTGCTCCAGTCTGAGAAGTCGAACATTCTTGAGGGGGAACCGCAGCAGCAGCAGCATTACTATTAACCGTGAAAACAAAAAGACCTTATTTACTTGTCCTGCTGTGTGTGTGTGTGTGTGTGTGTGTGTGTGTGTGTGTGTGTGTGTGT